AGTTTATCCTAAAGAGAAATTTAAGAAGTGTTTGAGCACTTTGCCTATGAGGATAGTATTTCAGGATGGCAAGTAATGGTGACCTCCCTAAACCACCCCTCAGTGACCCTGTCAAAGGTAGAATCTTTGGTGGCAGAGTCCACATGACTGACTTTAGGAAGTATTTCTGATGGAATAAATAGCATTCCAGAGCCTACTCCCTACTTTGTAAAATTAATGATGATCCAGACTTCTGAAGGTCTCTTTTGCTGAACACCTTCCTGGCCAGCAATTTCTCCAGGATTTAATCTCTCCAGCTCAAGAACAGGTAATTAATAACCTTCTCTCCTCCTTCCTTTTTTTTTTTTTGTTCTAACAAGAACAACAAAATAACCAGCTATGATATGTAAGGATTTGATTCCAATTCTTTTTGCATTGATCTATCTTAAACAGATCCAAGTTCTCTGAGTGAAACACTGGTGTTTACTGGGCAATTTTATCACCATTTACCTATGTGGGTGTATTAAAAAGCACATACCATTACCAGCACCAATGCTGTAGTAACAATTGTTAATTCTGTACCCTGAGAGGTCTGTAGTGACTCACTAGAGCATATGTTTTTATTCCCACTGGAAAATAATAGCCTTTGGCCCCCTGAAAACACATTAATAACTGGACATGGAATCTTAGTAGTGGCACTATCACCACCTCTCACATAAACTTGGGGATGTTGATAGAAGAGGAATTATGGAAAGGAATTGACTAAGAGAAGAAAGATGTAGCAAGAAGTGGATGGAAAGTAAAGACCTTAATGAAAAATGGTAGTGAGAGTGCATTCATGACCAGGGAAGTACCCAATAATAGAGCTAAAAAGCCATTTCCTGAAATAGGGTTCTGGTGGAGGAGAAACAAAGGGTAACTTGAGCAATTGTTTGCTTCAGCAGGCACACCCTCTTTCTCCCAACTGAGACTCATGTATCTGGTGAAGATCCAGAACTTAGCAATAGGTGCAAGATTCAGTGTGATGTACTAAGAAGAACATTGATCTTGTTTGGTGTCAGTTGTGTGAGTTTCAGCAAGTTATTTCAACTACTTAAATCTCAGTCTTATTATCTATAAAATAGAAATGATAATAATAATGTTCACATGATCTATCTCTTGTTTTGAGGAAAGATTTTTTTTGGATAAATCTTAAAGTTTCTACATAAATATGAGCTATTACCTAGAGTCAGATGTCTATGGCAGGGAAGATTTAGAATCAATGATCTAAAGCAAGGACATTCATACTCCTGGGATTGAGTGAGTGGGAAGGAAAAGTATGGAGAAGGAATGTTGTTTGGTAAACTCATCCTACATAAGCCTACATGAAGCTACCTTTCCAGCTGCCCTAATTTCAACTGAATTCAATCCAGTTCAATGCTATCCCCCCTCTTTTTCCTGTCTAGTGTCTGGCACAGTGGGATTTAGAGCAGAGTATGGTTAGGATGAGAGGTAGAGAATAGTTCTTGTTCAAATCATCCAGATTCCTTGTCCCCTTTCCCTACCCCTGCTTAAAACTCTTCCTATTTTCTCCCTCCCTGGGAAGGGCAGGAAGAGCACATGGGGAGAAACATGACTATAAAGATCTCCAGAGAGGATTTGAACCTGAACGAGGTGGAGGCCAATCTTATTAAATGCCTCTGTGGATTGCATCATCTCTGGGTAATTAGGTTTGGGGAGAGAGAAAGATATCCAATTAGTGTTGCCAATTCCTTGTCTTCACACACAGGCCGTTGGCAGTGAGTGAACTAGTAAAAGACCTCAGTTATAACAATGTTTTTTTTTGGGGGGGGGTTCTGTGTGAGGCCTGCTGATTTAATTTATAAAAGTAATTATAACTGAAGGTAGAAAGACCTTCATTTTCTTGCCTTGGGCTTTAGATATTCCAAATTTGTTTCAGCAAATTTAAGCCAAACTTACCCACTGAATTTCCCAGGAAGATTTCTGAACCACTCCCCTTCTTTAATCATGATGCCACCCCCACATGCTGAATATACTACTACATGAGCTGTATGCAAAAGGATACAGGGAAATCATGCTATAAAATTAGTGAATTGGCACAAGGCTCTCACACCTACCAGCAAACCTTTCTAAGAGTAGGCCTGGAAGCTGAAATCACTTTCCTGATTTATCACCTCATTCTGTCACAGTCTGTACAGGGTTATCATCATTCCAGGAGAGATTCACATTTAGAGAATGAGTCACTGTCCAGTGCAACTAAGAAACTTAAGTAGTCATAAGTTAACCACAGAAAAGGTTTCTCATTTTCCACTGGTCCCCTCTGGAGTTGTCTGTCCTCTTTATTACTTCTTCAGTGATACAACATAAATGAACCCAACAAACATTTTTATTGCAAGACCTTATTATGTTTGAGGGACTCTGAATGTCTTCATGCTGGTAGCTGGTCAACTATAAAGGAGGAAAGCAAGACACTAAAGAACCACAAGCCAGCAACAACCCCAGGAATGTTGTTGGAAGCCCCCAAAGTTCACAGAAATCTTAGGCTTTCAATGGTCATTGTTTCCAGTCCATACTTCTCACTATGGTGGGGAGGGAGAAGGCAAAGTGAGGGAGGAGAGGAAGGAGAAAGAAACATCAAAATTGTCAGGTGACTCTTAAAGTTATACTTCATTTTATCAGGATAAAATAAAGGATCTGATGGTGTCATTCCTTCAAAAAATGCAAAAATATTGGCCTTTTAAAATAAAGATCTGATGAGAGTATGCATTCCTATTATACACAGCTTACTTCATTTTATTGCTGAGAGAGGAAGTTTGTTTACATATTAACATAAAAGGATGTCAAACACAATCTAGCCAGCAAGCTCTAGATTTGGAACAGCCATGGGCACAACCTAAGGGAGTCTTTAGCAGCTACAATCATTCCCAAATATTCTAGTATAATATGATTCCTTATTATACGTTCACATATACCACAGGTCACTTAACATGCCCAAACAGTCCAGATCTATCCAGTAAATGGGTCAGCCTCTTCCTGCTATATCCTAAAACACATGTCTACTTAATCTCACCCCTTTTCTACTGCTACACTCCTATCCCTTTCTTTCCCCTCCTCCCACCACAAAGAGGGAGAAGAATATTTCACTTAATTCAGCATTGTCTGGGTCAGAAGGCATGGCCAGCCAAATGTGAAAGATACAATAATATAAAACGCTAAAATACACATTTTTCAAACAGCCAAAGTCCTAAGCACTGTTCTGAAGAGATAGGTACTGTGGTCACCTTCCACTAATGTCTGAAGAACACGTATGGTGGTGGCATTGTTTTCCAGAATTCTTCAAATCACAATCAAATAGAAAGCTTAATGGATTTGAGACAATTTAATAAGTTATCCAGGCAGATGAATCATTAAATCTTTTTTTTTGGGGGAGGGAGGATGAAAGCACAACCCCACAGTGTACGTATAAGACTACAAGATCCGCATCAATATAACAAGGGAAATAGTCAAGAAAACCCAAGACAGCAACAAAACAAACCTAACACTTAATAATGTTGGATTGGTTTGAATAGTAGTTACACAGAAATGCAAAATGTTTCTCTGGCCACAAAAAACATAGGTCAGAAACTGGGCATTTGCTCTTAAAAGAATTTTATTTATTACCAGAGTATGCTAATCCAATCAAAATGAACCATTTAGATGAGATGATCTCTGAGGGGCCTTTCAGCTCTAAATTCTATAGTTTTAACTGCATTAAAATAATTTTTGTTCAATGTATTATAGTCCAATCACAGTTACCGAACACAAGTCAACATTCACTTGTGACATGTGATCGAACATTTCACCTCCAGTTACAATGTTGTTGTTGTTTTTTAACCTAGTTGTGAGCAAGTTTCCTGTGGCTTCTTTGATTTTTTCCAAAGCACTGACATTAATTTTAGTGATGGGTAGGGCATTCTAAGAGGCCAATTTATGGCCTTCAAAATCAATTTTCAACTTCAGGAAAGTAAATTTTGAAATCTTTAATCCAGTAAACTGAATAGCCCCTGTTGGGAGAAAAAACTACCCCTCTCATACACATTTATTTAATTTTGAGCTTAGTGGAGTGAATCAGATCTGAGAATCTGACAGGTACCTTCCACTTTAAAAACACAATGTAACTAAAGCATTTCTGGGCTAGAGAAACACCATACTAGCTTTTGTTCCCTGACAGTGTGACTTAAAAGATCACTCATATTCACACAAGAAGGTAGAAAGCTTTTTATAATTAGTTCCAGAGTGCTAAAGTGTTTATCAATGATAGCTATAATTTTTTGCCAGGAACAAACACTTAAAAATCTTCTCCCCCACCCCCCAAATTCTTCTGCTAGTTTATCAACTGGCATCCTGTCAATTCACTTTACATTAAATTATTTTTCTAAGCTAGCTCTTCTGATTCAGTTCCTGCAGGACTCAAGTTTAATTTGTGAACCCACATGCAGATGGGGGGGTGGTGGTGGTGGTGGTGGTGGTGATGGAGTCGAATGAACTTTCTCAGTCCAGGTGAGGAACCTAGCAAACAGGTCAATTAATATGTGACCGAGTTCCCAAGAACTCAATACTTGGGGACTATTAATTTTATGGGGGTGGGTAATTTTAAAATGGCAGTAACTCAGGAGGCCACTTCTTTAAGGCAAAAAGCAAGACTCTTTTCTACTTGCATTCAGGTCTTGGTTAGACACTCCCCCTTCTCGTCTGTCTTCGCTAAAATGCAAACGCCCCCAAAACTTTAAGGGCGTATCCAGGCAGTGCTTTGCCACCCGGCATTGCTAGGTAACTTTAGAATGAAGCAGAGGGTGGAAGAAGCAATAGAAAGGTACGCAATTTCAGCACCACGGACAGAACACAACCCTCAGCCAGCTCAGGCCAAGCCAGTCCAACCCAGAACTCAGCACTGCACAGGGATCGCACAACACATCTTTATCCCTCCCCTCACCCAAAACCCTGACCCCGGCGCGTCTTTCTCCCTGGCCCGACCCCATTACCTGTCGTCGTTCTGGAATGACTGGTCTCCCAGTAGCAGGTCCCGGAAACGGTATCGAGGTGGCAAAGGGAGCACCTCGGAGTCCATGTCATTCATTTTGAGGGAGGAGATGTCCAGGAGGACCCCGCTTCGGCATCCACTGCCTTCTCCACCACTGCCCCCACCACTCGGCAGCCTGCATGCACAGACAGTGAACACTCCACTCAGAGAGGCTGAGACCTTATTACCAGCGCTCCCAGTCCTGACCCAGCCGGGCCCAGCCCAGCTGTCCTTCTTCTGTCTCCTGAGGTTGGCTCTGGGTACTGCTCAGGCGGTGGTAGCCGTTTGCCCTCTTCCCCCCTCCTCTCTTTCATTTTCCCTCCCTCTTTCTCCCACCCCACCCCCTCCGCGCATTGCAGCGAGCAGGGCTCTGGCCCCCAGTTCGGCGGTGGCGCTCCAAAACACAGGACTTCTCCGCCCCTTCTCCAACAAGGGAGCCAAGAAAGCTAAGAGAAGGCTAGGAACCAGCCCTTTTCAGTCACATACACACCCCTCCCCTATCCCCCACCCCAATCCCTAAAGGAGATCATAGGGAACTCAACTCCTGGAGGGCATCTTCTTCATAGATCTGCTCCTCCCTTCCCTTCCCTGGCAGCTGGGGAGTGGACACAGACGTGTTTCCCTCCCTCGCGGCCGCCTTCTTCCCGAAGCGTGGAGTGAATTTGGGAAGCAAAAGAGCTAGGAGTGGGGAGAGGAACTGGGAGCGGGAGGCGGGGGCGGGTACCGAGTGGGGAGGGAGATTAGCCCTCCTGGTTCTCTGCTGGGTTGCTTCTGGCTCCTTGGCCGGTCACAGTGGGGGGGAGAGAGAGAGAGAGAGAGAGAGAGAGAGAGAGAGAGAGAGAGAGAGAGAGAGAGAGAGAGAGAGAGAGAGAGAGAGAGACAGAGAGAGAGACAGAGAGAGACAGAGAGAGAGACAGAGAGAGAGACAGAGAGACAGAGAGAGAGAGACAGAGACAGACAGACAGAGACAGAGAGAGAGAGAGAGAGGTGCAAGATCTCCTGTAAGCCATGTTAGGCATGAGAGAGAATTGGACTATCCTTCTAGAGGTTGCTGTTCTAGGGACAGGGAGACAGACATGTCTAAGCTGTTTTACAATCACAGCAGAGGTCCCCTGGAACACAGGAATGCAATTGCATAGGCAACTTTAGTTTTGGAGCTGGTTCACACTCCTTTTTGTCTGCACTGGTTACCCCAGATCTGTTCTGAGTACAGAATCCTTTACCTGGGCCCAGGCTGTCTCAGTTTCCTCAGGATTTTCTGACCTCCAAAGCCATTTTAGCCAGGTTCATTTAGTATGGTTTAGAGCAGGGGTCAGCAAAATATAGCCTGGAGGTCAAATCGGGCCCAGGGCCTGTCAGGAGGCAAGCTAAGAATGATTTTTACATTGTGTCATAAAATGAAAAACCCTTTCTTAGTTCTTGGGCTGTATGAGAACACACAGTGAGCTGCAGTTTGCTGACTTTTGATTTAGAAGAAAAAGTATTGGACTAGGAATTAGAGGATGTGGATGTAAATCCCAACTCTGCTATTTCTATCATTGTGACCCTAGGCAAACCATTTCACTTACCCATGCTATAGTTTCCTCATATGTAAAATAACCAATACGAATCTACATCCTAGTTCTTCTAGATCAATTTATCAAAAATGCTCCATTTACTGTCTGCTCCATCTGACTGGATCAGTGACAGGAGCAATAGGTAATCCCTTCCCAATTCATCTCTGTAGGATATGGTGACTGAGGAATGCCCCACCATGCAAAAAGTTTGATTCTAGATAATTGCAGGATTGGTAAATCTTAGCTAGGGAGGAGGGGTTAGTTCTTCATTCAAGGCTTCAGTCAAAACCTGTGTCAAACTGCTTTCCTGGGCACCAATCCCTCCATCTAATTTGCATCTCTCTCTCCTTCTCTCACTGTTTTGCCCCTGCAGGTTTCTCTCTGTCACTACTATTTCCAGGCTCAAAGGAATTCCTAAGGTCCCACAAAGCTCTGGGAACAAAATACACCACAGGACACTATGCTTGATGGGGGATGGGAATGGGCAAGAGAAGCATGGAGTTGGGACTTTCCATTTGATGCCTTCCCTTCTTTGAAAATTATCCATCCAATGAAAATTATCCATTCTAGGTTTGATCCATTGACAAACCAAACACAGAATTCAAATTTCAATTCAACAAATATTCATTTCACACCAACCCTGTGCTCAGTGCTAGCTTCATCTATAGCTAGAAATGCTGTTCAACAATGCTTATACAGTGGAGTGTTTCTTCCATTAAGCAATAAAAGCTTCTAACACTTTTTATCCTTTGAAAGAGCTGGGATTCTTGATTCCCTACTCTTCAAAATATTAACTTTATATAATTTTAAAGCAGACTCTGACAAACTTCAAGGTCTCTGCTTTGGTCCAGCTCCATTAGAGACTGGGAATTTAAAAATTGCATGCTTATCAAACACTACCTAATTCACCATGCCTGGTAAAGTGTGGTTAGTTCTTGACAGAGATGAAGCTATATATCTGAGTTAACTATAAGAATTTTGCCAGTCAAAGAATTGGAAATTGAGGGGATGCCCATCAATTGGGGAATGGCTGAACAAGTTGTGGTATGTGAATATAATGGAAATACTACTGTGCTATAAGAAATGATGAGTAGGCAGACTTCAGAAAAACCTGGAAAGACTTGTGTGGACTGATGCTGAGTGAAGCAGAACCAGGAGAACATTGTATGAAGTAACAGTCATGTTGTTCGATGACTGACTTTGATAGGCTTAGCTCTTCTCAGCAACTCAAGGATCTAAGACATCTCCAAAAGTCGCATGATGGAAAATGCTATCCACATCCAGAGAAAACTGCAGATCTTGAATGCAGATTGAAGCATACTATTTGCTCTTTTTTCTGTTTTGTTTTGTTTCTTCTTTCTTGTGGTTCCTCCTATTGGTTCTAATTCTTTTTTACAACTTGACTAATATAAAAATATGTTTAATAGGAATGTGTATGTAAAGCTATATCAGATTGCATGCCATCTTGAGGAGGGAGGCAGGGAGGGAGGGGGAGAAAATTTAAAACTCAAAACTTATGGAAATGATTGTTGAAAACTAAAATAAATAAATTAAAAATAAATAAAGTCCTACCTTCTGCAAAAAAAATTAGAATTTTGCCAGTATGATCTGCTGAAAAGAAGCATGCACTCCATTTCACAGAAGGTGAAACTGAAGCCCAGAGAGGTACAGTATTGTATTATTGTTTGAAAAGTACCACATTAGGTAAGGAGACATCCTGACTTTACCATGAACTAGGTATGTGACTGGACAAGTACCTATACCTTCTCTGACCCTCAGTAAAATTGTGGAAGTGGTGGTATAAGTGAGATAATTTATAAGGTCCTTTACAGCTCTAACATGTTATGATATATCATCTAGATAGGTCCTTGCCTATGCTGGAACTTGACCTATGACATCATACATGATACTACATCAACTGCACCTTTGCTTTGGCTGTCGTTGGCAATGCCTGGAATGCTTTCTCCTTATCTTTACCTATTGGAATTCTTGATTTCTCTCAAGACTAAAGGACTACCTTCTGTAGGAGGTATTTCTTAGGACCTTTAGCTGCTAGTATCTTTCCTTCCCCCCAGATTACCTTGTATGATTTGTATATGTATATACAAACATACATTTGTATATAAATGCATACTAGAATGTATACTCTTTGAGCGCAGGGAGATTGTTTTGTCTTTGCATCCCCAGCACTTAGCACAGCACCTGACACATAATAGGTACTTAATAGATGCTTGCTTGATTGAATGTAGCTCTAAGTCATCAGGTGGGAATATCAGGAGGGAGGTTCTTTTTTGTTAGACTACTTTGATGTGGGTAGCCAGTGAGGACTTCCTAAGACCTGAGGGATAGGGGCTCGGAACCCTTTGGAATAGGGAAGGAATACCTGAGAAACAAACCTAGAAAAAAGTAGGAAGCTAGGTTATCAAGGTTTTTACTTTTCTAGCAAGAAAGCTCTACCAGTGAGTTTGCTAGAGCCAGGCAGAAGCAACCTACCCTGTGTATTTGAGTGTGAACATGAGTAATAACTATGGTTTGGGGCTAAGTGTGCTTCAGATTTCATGTGTGAAATCTGAACCATAGATAGAACCATAGGATTTAGAGTTAGAAAGGGTTTTAAAAATGACTTTGTCCAATCCATTCATTCTCAAGATGGAGAAACTAAGGTTCAGAGAGGAGGAACTGACTTTTTCAAAGTTCAATTCAGTGGAATCCAACAAGCATTTATTAAGCATCTATAGGGCATTCAGATAAGTAAATACAAAATAGACAGAAGGTAAATATCTTTCATATTTAATCAGTATCCAAGCTCTACAACATCTCAGTTGCATGCTACTCTCTACTCACCCAGTTACCACCCTGCTTCACATCCTTATCTTAGCTTATTATAATAGCCACATAATTAGTCTTCTGGCCTCTAGTTTCTCATCTTTCTAATCCAGATTCCATACAATTGCCAAACTGATCATCTGTAAATACATATATATATATATATATACATATATATATATACACACATATATATACGTACATATATATATACGTATATATATACGTATATATATATACGTATATATATACATACGTACGTATATATATGTACATATATACGTATATATATATACATATGGTCATGCCTCTCCTGCTCAATAAACTTCCTAGGATAAAATATAATTTTTTGGGCATTGATAATCCTTCACAATCTGGCTCATTTCACTAGTCCTCTTCACCCACAATACAGTCTAGCCCAGGAGTGGGGAACCTTTGGCCTTGAGGCCACATGTGGCCCTCTAGTTCCTTAATCCAAACTTCACAGAACAAATCCCCTTCATAAAACGATTTGTTCTGTAAAACTTGGACTCAGTCAAAATACCGCATCCAAGGACCTAGAAGGCCACATGTGGCCTTGAGGCCACAGGTTCCCCACCCCTGGGAGCCAAACTGACCTATTTTCTGTTCCCCATGTGAGACATTCCATTACCCTTCCCTCTCCCTCTCTGTCCTTTTTCACAGGTTGTTCCCTCTGACTGAAATGCTCTTCCTCCTCATCTTCTCACTTTTTGGAATCCCCGGCTCCTCTCAAGGTTCTGCTTAAATGCTTTCTTCTCCATTTAAATGTCAGGCCTTTCCTTATAAGAAATGGTGATAGAATGTTGTGTGTAGGGAAGAACAAACAGGCCAGTTTGGCCATAATGTGGGATGCAAATGAAGAAATAGGATATCAGTTCTAATCAGTTTCTAAACTGATTTAGAAATATAGGTTAGAGCCAGATTGAGAATAAGGTTTTTAAACACCCAAAGGAGAAGTTTGTATTTTATACTAAAGGCAGCAGAAAGCCACTAAAGCTTCTTGATTAGGAGGATGATGGAATCAGATCTGTGCTTTAGGAATATCAATTTGGAGTAAGGAAGACCTGAGTTCAAATCCCACCTCTGCTGTGTGACCCTGGGTGAGTCACTTAATCTTTGCCTGAGTTTCTGCATCTGCAAATCGGGGACATTGATTGCACCTGCCTCCCAGTGTTGTTGTGAGGATAAAATATGTTAATATTTGTAAAGTACTTTCCAAACCTTAACCTTTCATTCCATTATCAAACCTAAGCTTACCGGAAGCCTAGCCTGAGTTAGGCCTGGCCTATTACATGACTTCATCAAACTTTCTGTTGCAAGTTCCATGAGTTTCCACATTCCCATCATGTTTCTTTGCTCTCATCATTGTTTAGTGCATAGAATTCCTAATTGTGGGTAACTCTCACTCTTGTCCAGGCTCCGTCTCCTTTGCCTGTTTTTGCGATGTTAACATCTTAATATGTGGTTCCCTACAGAAGTTATGTGGCAGCCCAGGCCTCTCTTCAGATCACTCTGCAGCCCAGTCTCTCTCCTCCCTCTGTGGTCTCCACATTCCTGCTCACATCCAGAAGGTATAAATACCAGCTATTATTATTTTGGACATGTTGCATTTGAGAAGTCTATGGGATAAAGTTGGTTACGTAGGATTGAAGCTCAGGATAGAGAGTAAGGCTGTATACATAGATCTGAGAGTCATCTGCCTAGTGATAATAACTAAGTTGAATGAGAGCTCATGGGACCAGGTCATCCAGAGAGGATTTAGAGACAGAAGAGAACTCAGGACAGAGTTTTGGGGGCTATCCAAGGTTATGGGGGCAAGGTATGGATGAGATACAACAAAAAAGATTAAGAAAGCATGATAAGACATGTAGGAGGAAAGCCAAGAGAAAGCAGTGTCATGAAAATCCAGGGGAGACTATGTCAACAGTGTCAACGTTGCAGAGAAGGAAAGAAGAACCAAGAAGAGGCCATTATAGTTAACAATTAAAAGATAAATGGTAACCTTGGTATTGGAACCTAGGAGTTTGATCAAATCCAAAATTCTGCTGTTATCAAGTTGCCTCTTAAAAAGAGGTGGTTTGGTAGAATGGCAGGAATGCCAGACTTTGGGTCAGGACACCCAGATTTAAATCCAAGTTTTGACATTTCCTAGCTGTGTCACCTTGGGTAAATATTTAACCTCGTGGAGCCTCAGTTTCTACATCTATAAAATGGTGATAATAATACTTGCCCTACTGACCTCATAAAGTTGTTATAAGGAAAGTACTTTGTAAACTTTAAAGTGTTATATAGAAAGGTGAGTTTTAATATGTCATGTGAGATTCTGTGCAAGCGTAGGTGTGATTTGAGCCTCTGTATATGTCAACATGCATTGTGACCATGCATGTTGATGTTATGATTATGTTATATCTTTGATGCTTACTAGCTGTGGGATCTTGGAGAAATCACTTACTCTCTTTCTGCCTCCGTTTCTCCAACTATAAAACAGAGATAACATAGCACTTATCTCAAAGGGGTGTTGGTAGGATCAAATGAGATAATAATGAAGTGCTTAGTACAGTGCCTGGCACATAGTAAATACATAATAAATGCTTCTTCCCTTCCCCCTTTCCCTGTGTAAGTATGTATATATCAATGTGAGAATGTCAGTGATTATTTTCTCTTCACTGTGCTTCCTGAATCCCACTGGTCTTTTCAGGGTTAATAAATTGGCCCCAGTCTTGAAAAACACTCCCTAGTGACTGTGTTCTAGGATCTGCTTTTAAGCATAATTCTCAAAGGACAAAAAAACATAGGCAGACAGACCCCAGGCTCTCTTGCCTCCCCCATCTCTGTTGCAAAGCCTAGGAAGAATGACTGATTTGTACCTGGGGATTAGAATGACAATCCATGCTGGGCTCCTTGGCCAGAAATATGCAAATAGCCTCCCTATGTCAGGCCTGAGGCAGCTTGCAGAGTAGTAATGCCAAGACTCCACCTCCCTGTCCCTCACTGACTGTGATCTCAAGTGTCAGGAAACAAAAGCTAATCAGTCCTTGGATCGAAATCCTACAGTTCAGAGCCAAGTTGTTAGTCATGTGAGTTATTTACTGAACAGCCTAGGTAACTGACTGATTCATTAGTCAATGTAGTGCACCTGTACATATATAATGTGGACTTTGGGCAACATATTTGAATACAAAACAGGAGACTTGGGTATCCCTCCTGGCTCTGACATCCATTCCCTCAGTATGTGATCTTGGGTAAATCACTTACTTCCCTTCTCTGGGCCTTAGTTTTTTCCTACTTGTAAAATTAAGTATCAAGATATTAGGAGACACCCTATTTTCCAGAGCTAAGGCCCAGCAAGCAAGCTGTGTCCTGAGCTTAGCATAACAACAATCCTTTGTGCTCACCCTCTGGATGATCTCACTCTTGGGCAAAAACACATAATTGTTGTATTGCTTTGACCAGTACCAGATGTTCTCTGAGCTTGGACAAGCACTGGGTAAGTTCGGACAAGTACCTATGTTCCAGTCATAAAGCCCTATGAATGAATCAAATTTGTCTTACTGTTGCTGTCACCCCTTATTGTCAGGGCTACGGCTCACTGTGTAGCCATTGGTATAAGTATTGAGATCTCCCCACAGTTCCCTGGGTCCACCCCCAAATAGGGGCGGGGCCCTGGCACACGTGTCTAATCTCCTTCTTTGCTTGCAAGCCATTTCCCTCAGTTTGAAATTAAGCTTCTCTTTGATTCCTGACTCTCCTGTCTCTAGCCTGCTCTGTTTGGTTCCAGCCATCCATAGATTAGAGGCTGGTTTAATCTGATTGACATTGATAGGTGTCAGAAGTGGTATTGGATGTGGAACTGGCATCGTTGGACTCTGGCACCAGTGGGAACAGACTAGGCAGCACCAGAGATGTATTTCTTCAGAGTCCGACCCCCATTGTCTAGTGAGTGCTGTGTCCTTCTCCCTGCTCCAATGCCAGGGCTTTCGCCTTGGTTGAGCTCGCTGTTCTTTGTGAGAAAAACTCCAGGGCTCCTCTAGTGACCTAGTTTGCCTTGGATCACTCTGGTAAGAATATCCTTTTTTAAATTGCACACCTCTGTTAATTTGTCCCTCTGCATGCCTCTGGTTTTTTTTTTTTTTCAAATTGCATGCCTCTGTAAAATTGTAACTGTGTGCCTCTTGTTCCTTTGCATGCCTCTGTTGTTTTTTAAACTGCATGCCTCTTTAAAGTTGAAACTGCACACCTCAGTAACTGTGTGCCTCTGTTAAACACAAATAAAGTGAGGACTGTAACTGCACACTTTGTTAAAACTATCTGTGTCTTGTTTATATCTGTCTTATTATTTTGTCTGTGTTTGTGTCTTTGTAAAATGTAAAATGTATAATATCTGTGTCATGTTTGTGCTGTGAGCTGGATTCTGTTACCTTGAAAGATTTAAAACTCAGTGAGCCAGAAAAACTTGTAAGGACTATAGCCAAAGAGTTTAGAACACTGGAAAAGATTAATTAACTTTCATACTTGAAGCAATTGTGCCAGTTAGCAGGACTAACTCTCACTTTAGCAGTAAGCACGACTAACTCTTACTGCAATTTACTATTGTTTGAGCTTTGATTGCAAGGATGGTTGTCTGAATTGTCATGAAGCCAATAGTAGAAAATGACATGTGCTGCAGTCTGGGAACTGCTAAAGGTGGATGTCTGTGCCTGGTAAAAGTTTTGGGGACAACCTTGGCATGGCCTAAGGTAGGATCATCCTGACTCTGTTTCCCTATTGTGTTAATTCTTTTCTGAAAAGGAAATTTCCCCATCTGGTTAATCCTGAGCCTTGGTTTTAACATGTTGTGACTACATGATTGGCTGTCAGATATGACTCATACATGGAATCAAACAGAGCTAAGGGAGTTTTTCCCTCTGTTACGAGACATGACATTGCTATAACTATTTCCCTCTTTTTCCTTTTATAGGAAATTTCTATAATAAAGACATTTTGCAAGTACAATATTAAATCTATTAAATAACAGATTGATACTGGGACATTTCTGAATTACTATTATAGGATGAAAGTATGACCATCTTACAATTTTGACCTGTATTTGTGCTCACATTATAACATAGGGATGATATCTTCTTAAGGGGGAAATGATTAGACAAGGTAATAAGATAAAGATGTAATAGGTTTTACCTTAATATTTTGTTTGAAATTAACCCTGTGGTTAGCATAATATAACATAACATTTAGCATGTTTATCATAACCCTGTGTTTAGCATGTCTAGCATAATATAACATAACATTTAGTATGTTTATCATAACCCTGTGTTTAGCATGTTTAGCATAATATAACATAACATTTAGCATGTTTATCATAACCCTGTGTTTAGCATGTTTAGCATAATATAACATAACACTTAGCATGTTTATCATAACCCTGTGTTTAGCATGTTTAGCATAATATAACATAACATTTAGCATGTTTATCGTAACCCTGTGTTTAGCATGTTTAGCATAATATAACATTTAGCATGTTTAGCATAACCCTGTGTTTAGCATGTTATGCTACCAAAAACTCAGATCCAAAGACTGTAAAATGTGTGGGTGTGTACTCCTAGATCATCTGAAGAAAGCCCCTGCTCCTGAGTGGATGGCAGAATCCTCCAGAGACTTCGAGATTCATCTAGTATGGACCTAGAAGCAGCTGACATCCAGATGTCCCAAGATTCTGGATGAGGGCTGAGTATAGTGCCCTAGTTTTTTCTCCTCTTCTCTTTCCTTATGTGCCTAACCCCCAAGGCTCCAATTCAAACACGTGCTGGCATTTTCTCCCTCTACATTCTCCCTCCCCCAACTGCCCATTGCTGCTTGCAAGCAAACAATGGCTAGCAATGATACCTGGGACACACTTAACTGACCCCCTGGGATAAAATGCTTGTCCTAGCCCAACTGGCCTCTTGTGGCATCTTGGTTTATATCAGCCTCTCCTTTATTGGCCACAAGGGGAGGGGTTCTTTCAGACCCCCTCTATTTGGCCAAAAGGGGGAAATGTCAAGATATTAGGAGACACTTTGTTTTCCAATACCTAAGGCCCAACAAGCAAGTTGTTCTCTGTGCTTGGCCTAACAACAATACTTTATGCTCACCCTCTGGATGATCTCACCCTCTGGCAAAAACATATTGCTTTGACCAATAACAGGTATTATCTGAGCTTGGACAAGTACCCATGTTCCAGCCATGAAGCCCTGCTATGACTCAAAGTTGTAGCATTGTTGCTGTTATCTCTCATTGTTAGGACTACAGCTCACTGTGTAGCCATTAGTATAAGTATTGAGATCTCCCCGCAGTGCCTCGAATCCCTCCATTAGGGATGGGGCCTTGGCACGTGTGTCTAATCTCCCTTCTTGCTTGCAAGCTATTTTGAAATTAAACTTGTCTTTGATTCCTGACACTCCTGTCTCTAGCCTGTTCTGTTTGGTTCCAGTTACCCATAGGTTAGAGGCCAGTTTGGTCTAGTTGACAGAAGGTATTGGACTAAAGTACTTTTGGGGTCTAATATTATTTGTTGCTTCTCCTCAGCCTCAGGAATTCATTCACCTTTAACTAATCCCTTTCCTCCATCCATTATATGCACTTAGTCTCTCTCCCATCACAATATCTTTTGATACCATAACCTCCTCTCTCTTTCTACACATAGCCAATACTCTAGCATCATATTACCTTTTGCTTGGAGTATTGCAATAGCCTCTTGCCCAGTCTCCCTACTCCTAGTCTCTCTCCCTTTAATTCATCAGTATATAAGCCACCAGATTCATCATTCTAAAGAAAATATGTGTTGAAGAATGTAGTTAATCTCCCCCTTTGTTAACAGGATTCTTAGGGTACCTTTCAGGTCTAAGAGGGAACGTGGAGACCGCAGAGAGAGTAGAGAGACTCTGGGCGGCAGAGTGATCTGAAAAGAGGCCTGGGCTGCCACTAACTTCTATAGGGAACCACTTATGTTGAAATGTTGACATCAAGTAGGAACCTCCCCACCCCAAACACACACAAAGAGGCAAGGGAGACTGGGCCTGCACAAAAGTGAGAGGTACCCACAATTAGTAACCATATGCACTAAGGAATGATGGGGGCAAAGAAACATGATGGGAATGTGGAAACTCATGCCACTGTTGGCAATAGAGTTTGATGGAGTATGCCAAGCCTAACTCAGGCTAGGCTCCTGGTAGCTTAGGTTTGAATCAAAGAAATTTTCATAGGTCATTAATTAGTTAACGAAGAGAAGTTTGCTTAAAGGATACCAAAGCATGGATATAGCACTTGCTTTGGGTGGACTTGTGGCCCTGCAAACACTGTATGGTGATGTGACATTAAGTCTAATGGGCCCCAAGTCCACATCAGTTGGCTCTTTTATGACCTTAGGTGATCATGAAGCCCTACAAACAGCCTTAGTCTTTTCAGCTAATCAAGTCTCAGAAACATTTTTAATCTCTTTAAAGGAAAGATTAGTCTAAACTGCATGGAAAAAATAGTCCATTTTCCATTGGGCTATGGGGATTTTAGTAGATAATATTCCTCCTACCCCAGGCAGAGAATCATAGTCACTGAGGAGCAACTCTTAGAACTGCATAAGCCCTTAAAATCACCTCTTGTTGTTATTGTTAGTTGTTCTGGTCACATCCGACTCTTTGTGACCCCATTTGGGTCACACTAGAGCGGTTTGCCATTTCCTTCTCCAACTCATTTTACAGATGAGGAAACTGAGGCAAATTGAGGAAGTTATGTGACTTACTCAGGGTCATATAGCTAGTAAGCACCTGAGGCTGGATTTGAATTCAGGTCTTCCTGACTCCAGGCCTGGCACTCTATCCCCTGCACCACCTACCTGCCCACAAAATCACCTAGTCTAAACCCATTCATTCTAAAGATGAGAAAACTAAAGTTTAGGAGGAGGGATTGACTTTTTCAAAGTTCAATGGAATCCAATGAGAATTTATCAAGCACTCATGGGGCACACAGAAAAGAAAATACAAAATAGATAGAAAGAAAACCTCTTCCATATTCAATCAGTATCTGGGCTCCACAACATCTCAGTGCACGTCACTTTTCTACTCACCAAGTCACCACCCTGCTTCAGATCCTTATCATCTTTCACCTTGGCTTATTATAATGGCCACAAAATTATTCTCATTGTCTCTAGTTTCCCACCTTTCCAATCTATCTTCCACACAACTGACAAATTGATAATCTGTAAACATGTAAGTCCATATCATTCTTGCTCAATAAACTCCCTAGGATCAAATACAAATTTTTTCTTTGGCATTGATAATCAAACTATCTCTTCACTAGCACTATGAATCATTTGGTTTATGTAGGATGGGGAGGTAAGGGGGATCCTTAAATTCCTTCCCCATGGGGAATGTGAGAAAGTTTTCTCAAACAGCTAAACAGCTAACATTTATATGATACTTTAAAGTTTGCAAAATGCTTTACATAATTTATCTAATTTAATCTGAACAACAACCCTGTTAGGTAGGTGCTATTATTATGCCCATTTTACATTTGAGAAACTGAGGCCCAGAGAAGTTAAGTTACTTTCTCAGGATCACACAATTAATAAGTAGGGAGTGGGAACTAAGTATTTCTGACTTTTTGTCCAGTATTCCATCTGCTATACCATGCTTATTTTTGTATTTTTGTTGCACTGATAATAACAAAACGTTGGTTGGTTGCTTTCCTTCATTCTCAAAGAGGACCAAAATGACATCACTATGCTAGAGTCAAGTTTCAGTGTGTCCAATTGTGGCTGATCACACCAATACAAGCTCGGAATGCTCTACCACAGATTGGGCACAAATAGTCCATCTGAACATTTGGGGTGGATTCTCTAAATTTGTGCATCCTGTGTTTCCTTTGAGCTGTTCCAATTCTGCTTTGCTCATAAAGCACAACATCTTCTCTGATATAGGCACACCATGCTGAGCAGTCCTGTGCCAGTGTCTCCCATGTCACACAATTGTTTCCAAAGTTCTTAAGAGAGACCTTGAGAGTGTCCTTGTATTGCTTCTTCTGATCACCATGTGAATGCTTACCCTGTGTGAGTTCTCCATAACATAGTCTTTTTGGCAAGTGTATGTTTTGCATTTGAACAACATGGCCAGCCCATCACAGTTTCACTCTCTGAAGTAGAATCTGAATGCTTGGCAGTTTAGTTTGAGTAAGGACCTCAGTGTCTGGTGTCTTATCCTGCCAGGTGATCTTCAGAATCTTCCTAAGACAATTCAAATGGAAGTGACTCAGTTTCCTGGCATGGCGCTGGTATACTGTCCAGGTTTTACAGGCATACAACAATGAGGTCAGCAGAATGGCTCTATAGACCTTCAGTGTGGTAGTCAGTCTATACCTCTTCTCTCCTATACTTTCCTTTGGAGCCTTCCAAATACTGACCTAGCTCTGGCAATGTGTGTGTCAATTTCAATATCAATGTGCACATCCCTGGAGAGTATACTACCAAGGTAAGTGAATTTATCTACAGCATTCAAAACTTCTCCATTTGCTGTAACCCATGGTTCCACATATGGATAGTGTGGTGGTGGCTGATGGAGCATCTGTATTTTCTTGGTGTTAATTGTTAGGCCGAAATTAGCACAAGTAGCAGGGAATTAATCGATACTTTGTTGCATCTCAGCTTCAGAGGCTGCATTGGATGCACAATCATCTGCAAACAGAAAATCATGTACCAACACTCTCTCCACTTAGTTCTTGGCTTGTAGCCTTTTCAAGTTGAAGAATTTACCATCAGTGCAGTAGTTGACCTCAACGCTGTGTTCATCCTCATTGAATGCATTTGACAACATAGAGGAAAACATCAGTATTGTTAGCCTGAGTGCTTGCATGGGAACTGAGGGCTCTTTGGGGGAAAGCAAAATGAATCAAATATACTCAGGATTCCCTGAGTTGGGAAACAGGCTAGAAAGGTTTTGTAAAAAGATTTCCTGTTTTCTTGGATCATGTCTTTGGAGGCCTGTGATTTTGATGTCTTGGAGGAGATCCTCATTGCCCTATCATGATTATGTCTCTTATTATGGCTATACTTAGGAGATTCTGTAGTTGGTTCTGTGCTATTGAACATTTTTTTTTGTCAGTGATTTTGATAAAGGTGCAGAGGATATGCTCATCAAATTTGCAGATGACAACTTTGTGCTAGGGAAGAAATAGAGTGGCAGAACAACAGAATAGACTAGGTACACAATATATGGAAGCAAATAAGCACAAAGCTTAATATTTGATAAAAAGACCTCATCTATTGGGGCAAGAACTCACTATTTGACAAAAAATGCTAGGAAAACTGGAAAGGTGTCTGGCAGAAAGACATTAGGCATAGACCAACTTTTCAGACTATATGCCAAGCTAAGCTCAAAATGAGGAAATGATTTAGATGGAAAGGGTGTTATAAGCAAATTAGGGGAGCATGGAGAATTCATGACCAACAGAGGCAGTGAGGTGGTACAGTGCATAAAGCACCAGCCCTGGAGTCAGGAGGGCCTCAGTTCAAATCCATCCTCAGACACATGATACTCACTAGCTCTGTAACCCTGGGCAAGTCACTTAACCCTGATGGCCTCACCAAAAAATAAAAAATCATGACCAAGCAAGACATAGAAATATATAGGAGGTAAAATGGACTGTTCTGATTATAAAAGTTGAAAAGTTTTCATACAAACAAAACAATGCAGCCAAAATTAGAATAAAAGTAGAAAACTGGAAAAAAAATTACAGCAAGTTTCTCTGACAAAGGTCTTATTTCTCAAATATATAAAGAACTGAGCCAAATTTATGAAAAATAGGAACCTTTTTTAAATTGACAAATGTATGAACAGGTAGTTTTCATGGGAAGAAATAAAAGTTATTTTGATTTGATTATCAACACTATAATCGAATGAAAAATGCTCTAAATAATTAATTAGGATAATACAATAAATAATTAGGGTAATGCAAATTAAAACAACCCTGAGATACTACCTCACACCCATCAAATTGTCTAAGATGACAGAAAAGGAAAATTGACAAATGCTGGAGGGGATATGGGAAAATAGATACACTAATCTACTATTGGAGGAGCTGTGAACTAGTCCAACCATTCTGGAAAACAATTTGGAACTATGCACAAAGGGCCATAAAACTGTGCATAGTTTTTGGTCCAGCGATATCCCTACGAGGTCTATCCTCAAGGAGTTCAAAGAAAGGAGTAAAGGACTTACATGCACAAAAATTCTTATAGCAGCTCTTTATGTGTTGGTAAAGAATTGGAAACTGAGGGGATACTCATCAATTGACTGTATAAGTTATGATATGTGATGTGACGGAATGCTATTGTGTTGTAAGAAATGATAAAGGGGATGGTTTCAGAAAAACCTAGGAAGACTTACATCAACTGATGCAAAGTGGAGAA